ACAATGTATTATTGAAGAGGTTCATCACTATTGGATATTCGGTTTAGATGAAGATATACATCCGTTCCAAATCTATCATGTATAAGTAGTCAAATAAATGTAAATTGAAGTTCATAAAAAAAATTTGATCTTTTTAAATAAAAACTTACCCTTCCATTGAAATCAACTTCAAATCACCACCAAAATATCTAGCATACTGTCGAAAAGTTTTTTTTATGTAATCGAATTAAAATTGTTGTTTACTTCACAAAAAAAATAATTTTTAGATTATAATTTTAATTACCAGTCTACTGATGGGTAGTCCATAGCCAAAACCTGCCATTGGAGCTTTGAAATCTGTATCGACGAAATCTGGATCCAATTTCTGTACTTCTGCTGTCGTGTACATATAAGTCCATACCAAAGGGATATTGCTTCTTGGTATACCGCCACCTTCATCCGATATTTTGATTGTAATATCTTCTTTTCCTTCGGCTACAATTACTCTAATTGGAGGATATTCATCTACTTCATCACCAAACAATTCTACCACGGCACGCAAACTATTTTTTAATAATTCAAATAACATATGGCTCAAATGTGTGGGGACGTAAGTAAAAATTAAATCGTGTGGACAATATAACTGAATTTCAGGTGCACGAAAGAGTCCATAATATTCTTCACAGATGAACCTGGCATTATCCGCCGCATCTTGTACAGTTTGTGCAATGTTGGTTTTGGTACATATAATACCTACATAATCTGGTCTTGATGGAAGTCGATTAAGCGCGACGTGTTGACCTAAAAATAGTCTGCAATTTTAGCAAATTACGTTCAGTTAAAAAAAATAAAAAAAAATGAAACTTTTCGTTCCTTGAAATCTAAAAAGTTTATGAATACTAACCAATCAGCATACGAATCCCAATGCGTGACATATAAAAACGATCCAAGAATGCTTGAATGTCTGTATCAATTACGGCTGATTTCTTATGCTGCTTGTATTCTAAAATTCCCTGAGCTTAAATTCATAACGAATAATTCAAATGTGAATATGTTTATATTGATTGATTATATTATATCATCTCCTACTGATAAAAATAGACAAAAAAAAAATTGCAGACGGCCTTACCCTAAAATGTTAATACTAAAGATGTGAGTAAAAAAGTTTAAAGCGTTTACATAAATCCACATTAATCACATACCACTGTGGTCACAACAGGATCATGTCGCCGTTTGATTGCTTCTATCAATTTTGTAAATTTTTCGTTATAATAACGAACTTCAGGCGGCCAATTTACTTCGTCAATATTTGAATAATATCTAAAATCAATCATTAACATGTGTAATTAGATCGTGTTTTATTACCAAAATAAGATAACAATATTTAAATAGACACCTATGACAAATTGGTATAGAAGGGTTTAATTTTCCTGAATTAGTCAAATTTATTGAAATGTTGGGCACATTATCAGGTAACTTTGTATGTTCAGAAGAATTTGCAGAAAGTTTTTCCCTCATACTTGTTGGAAGCTCGGGTTTCGGAAAATTGACTAGTTCCTAATGAATGTTACAAGTTTATATGAAAAAGTTTCGTTCCACAAAATATTCCATTCTCATAAACTTCATACCTCAAAAGACTGAGCATACCAATTTTTGACTTTAACTATTGATGGCATTTCACTCAAATTATGTGGCAAATTATCCAATTCCTTGACACGATGTGCAATACGAATTGGTAATTCATCTTTAAACGAGAATTTAAAAATTTTAACTACAATCCGAAGTTTTAAATTCTTCAAACGCGATATTTAAATAAACAGATCGAGATGCATTACCTGCCAGAAATTGAGTTGCTCTTAACAAAGTTCCTTGAGATGGATTTTGTCCTGTAATAAAGAATAGGAGAACTTGGTTTGAAAGTTAATTAAGATAAAGAGAGTATTCAAAAAAATCTTTTGACGCGCACCGAACATGACCATCTGTCTCAACGACACGCCCGTAGGAGGGAAACGTGCGAAATGTTTAATTTTCTCGTATAGTTGTGTTGTAATTCTGTACGCCATAATCCTAACTTATCATGAGGTCTTCGCGACAAGTCTTTAAAATTAAGCATTAAGTGAACGAAAGATGAGCAGATTTTGAAAGAACGTGAAAAAAAGATTTTATTGAGCCAATAACAAACTACAGCTAGTAAAGGAAAAGCCAGGCGTTGGTTTTTCGAATATTTGTAACACGATGAGAGATGTTTAACGATCTCGATCCGATTATCACGTGGTCAATTAATTATGTTATGTCTAATTATCTAAATAACAAGTTCTCTCTCAGTTTATTTTTTGAAAACAAAAAAATTTTTTAACTTCAAAATCAATACCTCTTCTTTTAAATTTCGCCTTTTT